GATAGATAGATAGATAGATAGATAGATAGATAGATAGATAGATAGATAGATAGATAGATAGATAGATAGATAGATAGATAGATAGATAGATATAGAGAGGGGGGGTGAGGTATATATTACATGCAAAAGATATCTACCAACACATCAGACACACAAATATCAAGAGAACGCATACAAATGTCTATTTCTCACTACCGAAAACCTGTAGCTCACATGAAAATACTGCTTACCGTGAGGGGGGTTTTTGTGGTTTTTTTGTTGTTGTTTTTTTGGGGGGGTTGATTTGTTTTTTCTCGCGCGTGACTTGAATTTGCGATTTTTGCTATTTGAAAAGAAATTTTAATTCGCATATTCTAGTAGTTCGCCAAAATGTTTAAAAGGGCGCTATTGCGCTTACTCTCTCTCTCTCTCTCTCTCTCTCTCTCTCTCTCTCTCTCTCTCTCTGTCCCTCTCTCTCTCTCTGTCCCTGCACCGTCAGGTACATAAAGCGGAGAACAGTCAACGCCACCTGTCTGTCCCTTGCGAGGCCCTCCAATTTCGGCACATCCAGGCCCTGGATGACAACCTCACCTCTTATTGTGCCTCTTTAAGTTCCAGTTGGTATTCCCCGCTTTCTCTTCCCAGGTAGTTTCCAATAGCTCGTCTGATAGGGCAATCTTGTCTTCGGCCTTCTCAGAACATGTCTTCTCCTTTGCATGGTTGTGTTGATATTGTGCTGGAACATAATGACTCTGTGACTCTCAAATCGCACATTCTCGTAACGACCGATTACCCATAACATTTGTGTGTAACAGTCATTTACACGTGTGCTTAAGTTCTGAAGTCTGAGGAAATTCTCGTGATGACCGATTTCCCATGATTTATGATGTACGTCTGAACATCCACAGATCAGCACAGGGACCAACCGGGAGCTGGGAAAAGACGCGAATGTGGACAGTTATCCCCTCAACTGGTTCATTCCGAAATGGGGCAAATCTTGTGATGGCATGAGTGGCCAGAGGTATTCTCACAAGTACAAGACATGCCCAGGCGGCATGTGTGATCACGACGACATGACAGTGGGCGGAGTCAGGAATGGAGTGACAGGGCAAAGGCGTGGCAAGGACGTGGCGCCAGATGACGAAGCACACGTGAGGATTAGGCATAACCCTTAATTAATTATTTTCTTTATAAGATCCCTACTAGTGCCTAAGATGGTCATGCAAGTCAACTTTCAACTTTGGATAGAATCTCATTAAATCTAAGACTCGAATATCAACATTTATCAATTAAATCACAAAGTGATCTCGCATTGTCAGCCCTTTCTTTTTATTTAGAAGGGAGAATGCAATCATCTGCGTAATATCACTTGCAGCAACTCTTGCATATATTTACCATTAAGTTGTTCTGGCAGTGGGACAAGAAAATGAAAAGGTTTTGAGGCTTTCCATTCCATTAGACCAGCACACACACAGGCACACACAGACACAGACAAACAAACAAACAGGCAGTCTGGTTAAAGAACTGGCAGGCCTTATTAAAGGGCAGAAATTTAGCTATCTATTTGTAGTCCGATTTTTGTGTCAGCTATATGGATATTCTGTACCTCTACGTTATATCTATTGTATAATTTCGCCAGGAACTGGTTCAAATTTGGTAGGTTTTTTAAAATGTTCTTTTCATTTTTAAAGGAATAGTGTTAGCGAAAAGGTATAATACATTCCTGTATGGTGTTCTCCACAGGTGATTTTGCATCAAGACTTCTACTCGCAGAGTGGTACCGAGACCAACGCCTGCACGTCAGAGACGTATGTCCCCGAGGAGGACGAGCGGAGCCACGCGTTACACGTGCAGTCTGCCCGCACCGAGGCCGGGGGCGATGACGTCATCACTTCAGACGGTGACCTGCAGGAAAATCCGGGACATTTCCCCATTGAGGACCAAGAGGAAGTCTGGAGACGCCAGGTCGACGTTGGGAATCCTAGCCCACAATACACGTGTACCGCGGCTGAGAATTGCGCGGAGCACTGCCCAAACGCTCACAAATATGTGGGTGGTTCTTGCGCCGAGACGCGAGAGAGTTCCTCCAGAACGACGGACGCATGGAGATCTTCTCAACCCCGCGCTGTGACGTCATCACTCCAACGCGGGAGTCCGGCTCCTCTGATGAGCGCTCGAAGCAGTTTCGATGGAGCCGATAAGCACGGCCCAGACTGCTACCAGATGCCGATCGTAGGACATCAGTCGGCAAGTGACCACAGTCTTAACGTCAGAGATTCGCCAGGGTCAAAGAACAACGTTCGGACGAACGGGATTCATAGAAACTTTGATCTTGACGTGAGCAGCAACGGCGGTGGTGGCGGGCGGGGCAACGCTGGCGCGGATGGGCGTGTTCCATCTGACAATCGAGGCAGTCGGACGAGCTGGCGACAAAACTTACAATGCTGCAGCGCAACCTCCAGCCCCGGGGAACCCAACTACTTCGATGCTGGCTCAAGTCGTACGAGCAACAGCTACAGAAGTCACAGGAAATCAGGAAAGAATACGGGACCCCAGTACGTAATGTATATGCCTGACACGGAAAAAGACATAAGTAAGAAAAAGAAAAAGGTTCGAAAAAACAAACAGCAGCAACTGCAGAACCACGGTACTGCTGACACTGACAATAATATGGCAAAATATTCGCCACTGCTCTCTATGGCCTGCAACAAAGACTATAACGTTGGAAAATGCACCGAAAACGGTGTCAAATCAGGTCCACGTGGGACTTGCTTGTCTGCGCATACCTCTCGGCCCCCTTCCCAGAAGCCGAACCACGGCACCGCTCCCGATAGTCCCTCCTCCACACCCATACCTGAGTCGCAGCACTTGCCCAAGTGTTCAGAAGAGAAATCCCTAGCTCCACGAGGAGCACCACCTTCAGAAAAAACGCAGCCTCGGGCTTGCAAAAAAGGCGAATCTACTTCCTTTTCCGGTAAAACGCCTGACGGTAAGCAGCAACACGGGAAAAAGAAATCCTCGCGCACGGCCTCAAAAGGTAATGCATCACACCAAAGTTTGCCTCACAAGCACGCCATGGTCGACAAAAGCGTCCATATGCGATATTTCCAACAGTCTATGGCCGACGGGAAAACGTACGTGTGCAAATCCAACTCTCTCGTTGAGCTCAGTCAAGCCCAGATGGAAGATGTCCGAGCTTTAGAGAGTGCAGGACCCACCAAGCGACGCAGCCTTACGCCAAAGCAAGAGGAGTACATGCTCTTCCATGGTGAAAGAGGCAACTGTCTCCTTCACAGCTACCACCAGCAGCACTACAGACATCGCAGCGACTCGCGACCTGTGTACCCAGAACACGGTCAGTACGACAGCGATCTGCATTTCCCCCCGTTACTCAGCCTCGAGAAATACTTGGAAGGCGGGAAAAATACGACCGGCCCGAAATTCGAGGAAGACTTCACTGATATCGTTTTAATAGAGAACCGTAGTGGAGCAAATAAACTGAGAACTGAATCACGTGACTGGCAGGAGGCGTGTGATGAAGAAACCGGAGTTTTGTTGGCGGAGGATAGTGAAGAGGACAAGAACCGCGATTCTCTTTCTTCTGCTAAAAACTCTGGTGACCTTGAAAGCGGTTTTCATTCACAAGCTTAGGTTTCCCACGCCTGTCCTACTGTGTCAAAAGAGTTCCAGCCGCCTGTCTTGATTACTGCAGAAGGGCGATTTCTCACATCTTTTTTATGACGGATCAAGCGTGAAAAGGGATTCCAAATACATGCACTGTGCGTTAACCAAGTAGATGGAACAACTTCGGTGATCTCATACCAACAGTAACCGCGTCACTGCCAGAACTATTGTATTGTCCTATCTAAGAGTTTCTACAGTCTTGGGCGATGCAGTAAAAGGGTTAACTTAGGTCCAGAATAATATTGTGCTCTGCATTTTGTTGGTTTCAGATGTTAACTCGCTGGATCTGGAGTTCTGCCCACAAAATAGTTCATGATACAAGTAAATGTATAGTAGGACGGTAGCTAAACCAAACCAAATAAATGGAACCTGCCGCTGTTTAAGATGGGCTGTGGAAAAGATATGACTCTTCTTTGGATGTCGTAAAGGGAGAAAACTGGTTGTTTTTGTCTGAGAGTTTATTAAAAATTCATAGCTCGGCCTTGCACGGCTGACAATGTTCCCGTATTTTCATTGTACATTCCCGCCTAACCACAGAATTTTGCGTCAACTGTGTTGTTTTACAAATCATTTGAGGTCTCTTTTTTAGACTTTATTTTGTCTTATTTTATTTTTATTTTACATGGTATCAGCCTGCCTGCAAGCTAATGCCTCCGACCGCGTTTCAGTTTTTCTGGTTGAAAACCAATCCGTTTTATTTCACTCCTTTACCGGGTTTGTGTACCCTTGATTTGCTCCACGTTCATTGTATATTTAGCTACTTTGTCTACATATTATTATGTTGAAAAACAGATATAATATAAATGTCTTATATTGTACAGATTACATACAAAAGATAATATACAGATGTGTTGAAATATATCGGCCCTTTCATTATCAACCTCAGTTGTGTAACAGTTGAGTGCTCTGTCTTATTTGCAAAAGACATAGAGTTCAAATCCCTCGTAGGGGAAGCTGATTTGTCGTGTTTGTTTTCATGTTAAGGTGTCTTAAGCCCGATTTTCCTTTCATGGAAGAAGCACCTCTTTCAGTGCGCTATATCGTTTTCGAAAATGGGTTTTAGGGATGGACTGCAGTGCGAGAGTAGCAAGTGTTATGCCTTCAAAGCGAGCTTCTTTGAGTCCCTTGGAGTTAAACATTTATACAGAAAAGATTGTTTTCTATGATGTTACAGAATGTTGAATCGCACATGTTTGGGTATGTTGGATGTATGTTTCTATTATTGTTTTGTTTGGTTTGCTTTGCTTTGGTTTGGTTTTGTTCGGTTTTTCGTTTTGTTTTGTTTTAGGGTAAGGTTGTTTTTTTCAGAAAGGGGGTGTTGTTGGATTTGTTTGTTCGTTTAGTTGGGGATGTAGGAGGGGGGGGGGAGAGAGTTGGTTTTGTGTGTGTGTGTGCGTGTGTGTGTGTGTGTGTGTGTGTGTGTGTGTGTGTGTGTGTGTGTGTGTGTGTGTGTGTGCTTGTTGTTTTTTTTATTGTTGTTTTTCTACAATTTGATATCAATAATCATACCTTGAACTCCACGTATTCATCACTAACAGACTGTACAACATGTACTCTGATTGTGTGAGCTTCTGATGCTAGCATAGATAATGTAATTTTGAGCTCGGGCTGTGTCTATTGGGAATGAGGGAAAGCGATTCAGTTATTAGGTCCCGCCTTACAACAATCCAAATTGGATTATCTTGGACGTAAAAAGCTCCAACATCGCAACCCTTCGCTCCCTTCTCAGAAAATAAACCAAACCGACTATTGATGCTCGACTACTTTTTTGATTAATGAATAATATGTTGATGTCCAAAGTAAACTTGACTTCAGCCTTTAAAAAATGTTTGTTGTTTTGTTTTGTTCGGGGGGGGGGATTATTGCTGTGATTTTAGTTACAAAGTTGTTTTTTATCTTTGAGGGGGTGGAGGAGGGGGGGGGGGGTGCATACTTATATTGTTAAATCATTATAATTAACTTCAAATGTTTTATTTGTAAATTATAGCAAGCACGGAAGGTCTTAATTTTCTTAACAGTTTTCTTGTTGTGAGATCTTGTGGGGTTACTTCAGATCTGACGGATTCAGGTACCGGTAGCCTAATCAGGTAAACTGAAAACTTTCCGTATCTCCTTCGTGTAAATGAGATTTCGTCGCTAACTTGTTGACTATGCCAGACTCATGGTAACTCTCTGATACTATCTTGAAAGTGTTATAATTATGTTCAATGATACAAACACAAATGGTATTCCATATTAATACTTTTTTGTAAAATAAAACATTATTATTATTATTATTATTATTATTATTATTATTATTATTATTATTATTATTATTATTATTATTATTATCATCATTATTATATTATTTTTATGTATATAGCTTTGTGTTGAAAAAAATCCCACTTGCCACAATTATTGCTATTATTATAATCAAGCGTAGAAATATGTAACGCTGTCGGATATCTCATGAGAGGTCTATTATTTGCAAAACATTTGTTCTGTACACTTTGTTACGCGTTTTATGCTGTGATGTGCACAAATCAAGAAGTTGGGTTTTTTTGTTGTTGTTGTTTGTGTTTTTGTTTTTCTTCCTTTTATTTTATAATTCATATTTCGGCCGGTTCAGATGGAAGACTTCACGTACCCATTATGAAAATGGCATATGATACCAAAAAATAAATAAATAAATGAATAAATAAATAAATAAACAAATAATTTAAATCTTCATTGGCATCGCGCACTCTTGACAAGTCTGTTGTCGCCATAGCTTTGTACTAAAATATCCTAGATTGTGCAATATGACGTAATTTCGGTTCACTACGGAGCACACGTTACCATTTGACTCAATTTGGAGCCAGTTGAAGGGCATGGGGGGAAAGGTGCCATGTGTAGCCTACTCTATTACACGGAGACTGGTGTGTCGTGACAGGGCTCGATCTAGGATATTAAAATTCAAGTTTACTTTTTTGCTGCATTAGCTTTTGCTTTTAACTTCAACAACTTGAGAGACGTTTAGAAAAATAATTATTTCCTCTTAGCCCGGTGTCCAGAAGGTTGATGGAGAGTTACGTTCAACGTTTGGAAAGCCCCTTTTCTCGTTCAAGAAGGGCGTTGAACATCGGCAAAATAAACTGCTTTTACTTGACCTGAGATATTATTAAGGAGTATCAATCTTTACTCTAAGAAATTCCCTTACAAATGCTGGGGAAACCCAAATTACTTGCTCAATAAATCTAATTTATAGATGTATGATACGAAGAGTCTTTGTGCATGCGAGTACTTGAATCCGAGGTTGAGTTCATACTTTTGAATTTGTAACGCATTACATTTTTACAATTAGTCTTTCCCTAAATTATCATGCTGCACCAGTTTTCTCTATTTCATCGTATGTGCGCCGGTAAGACTGTATAATTAATATTGTTCTTCTCTTGATCTGAGAGGGGGGG